GCTCTTTTTTAAAAATGGCTTATTTTATTGTATTTGCGGAGGATAATAATGACCGCACACATTGGGTATGGTCAGTTGATAAAATCTCTGTAGGGCGTTGAAGGTGCGTAWGATTTATTGTTATTCTTGTAAGTATATATGTATAATATAAGGAAAATAAAGCCATGTGTAGAAGTTCACGCAAATSAAGAGAGTTCTCTAARCGACATTCACTTGGSAAACKATTCTTTCCCATAKGRGTCAAGCAGCTYAMGACTTCCGGTGTTATCCAGTCCTCGGATGATAGGATTACGATTTAAGGGCATGCACGTTTAATGTCTAGTCCCTTAATTGGGTAGATGGGGCTGCCCATCTGATTGATGTCCTCGTAAGAGTAAAGGCTGACATCACCGCCGTCCAAGTAGTGCGATGGACGGGCTAAGGACTGAAGCGAGTAGGTCCTTGTGGCATTKACTACAGTGSTCAAATAAAGGAACTCAAATTCGGGGTGGGATTCGTRGTGGGAAGAAGTTCGAATGGCAATTATCCRTCTGAAGAACAAAGCGGCAGAACCGATTGATTACCGATGGTCGAGTTATTCAAATACGGTGGCGAASAACAGATAAGGTGAATGCATCAGCTTCTTTGTAGAATATGCCAAGACGAAAGCATGCTCGACAATTGGAATTTAAGTGTGCTCTGCCCCACTATCTGCGCCAACTACAGTGAGATAAGCTTCGGCAACATCACATATAAGGTACTATAGAGAGTACTGCGTGAAAGATTAAAGCCCACTTTCAACAAACTGATTGTGGCTTCGGCCTGGAAAATCAACAAATGACCTGATACTCACCAGGAGTAAAATCTTGGAAAAGATCGGTCTTCCATATTCATATGTATATATGTATGCACATAATATATATTCATGCGTTCTTAATAATTTTTATTCACAGACATTTCCACTAATTCTTCTTTAAGTCAGCCAGCCAAAACTCCACCAGCAGCATTTACCGCGACATGTAAGTGCTTTCCGTTGTTAACTGTCAACGAACGTAGCCATTGAGCCGACATTCCACATGTTAAAAGTACGCAAGCAGTGGCAAGTATTAAGAAGCCAACTCGTTTTCGCTTAGTTTTTACCAACTTTTACACATATACATACATACTACAGGTATATAMATACTTCCATATATAGTATATACATTACCAAATACCTCACTTTCTTTTCCCCAGTTGTCGAAGCAGCTAATTAATTGCTAAGCTGATGAAATAATACATGATCATTCACCACTGACTGCCCTCACGTGCTCAACTGAATTGATTTAATGTGACAACGAGGCTGTACTTTATATTACTTTTGGGGGAGCGCCTGTTGCATACATTTAGGCTAACTACTGCAATGTAGCTGATGTTGCGTATACGCCGTGAACATTTGGAATTGTTAAGTTGGTKTGCTATATTTTTAGTAAGATTGCTTGCTATTTGCTAACTTATTTTATATTGCTAGAAAATGTTTATATTTCACATTTTTATAAAATAAAATCAATATTTTATCTGAAAAAATTTAGTGATGATTTTTTCGAATTTTTTTATTAAATTGAATTATAAAAAAAATATCTTCTTTGCAGAAAACTTTAAG